ATTAACGATTATTTTATGTTTATTTTATTTAACGATTATATTATATATATAATATATATAATGTAATATATATATTATTTTATGTTTATTTTAATTAACTATTAATTATATATAATATAATTAACGATTATTTTATGTTTATTTTATTTTTTATTTGATTAAGTTTTCGGTCATTCATGTTGTTTAAATGAATCTGTGTTAAATATACCATGAAATGATGGTGGCCAAGTGGTTTGAAGCCTTACCTATGAATGTTTTGGCCCAGGTTCGAATCTCAGGAGCTGCAAAACATTAATTTTTGCCCAATAATTGGTAGAAAAGGTAGGGGCAAAATAGTAATTTCAATTTTAAAATAAAAAAATAAATGAAAAAAATGAATAATTATCGCAGTACATGAAAGTGTGATCCACGCGCTGGTAAGTTGGACGGAGAGGGGGGAATCGTGCAACAGCTAGTTAATATAAGGAGGTATGACGCAATTTTTAAAATACAGGGGGAAAACGCGCAGATTTCGTATAATACAGGGGGATTTCGTGCAATAAACCCATTAGTCAATGTTTTGGCACCTACTAGGTTAGGTTTATGTGATATAAATATTCATTTTTTATTAAAAAAAATAAATTATTTCAAGTCAATTATATGTAAATTAGTTTGGAAACCTTTTATTTGTAGTTTGTACAAAGTTGTCTTTTTAGGTGCCAACTCATTTCAGTGTGCAAAATTTGAATTGATTAGATGATTTCTTTACACCAAAAACCAATGGAACTTTTTCTTTGTGTTATTTTTGTGTCCATGTTAAAGAAATGGTCCAACTAGACTAACACCATCTCCAGCGCTACTTTATTATGGAGCAATACGCTGGAGTTGTGTCAAAAAATCCCTTCAACCCTGCGTTGAAATCCTACGCTATATGAGATATAGGAATAGTGTTGCGCCAGTTGTGGCGCTGCACAGTAGTGCAACGCCACATTTTGTCTTTTTTTTTTTTAATGTAATATTAATGATTATTTTGTGTATAATATGTATTAATAAATGTATTTTTATGCTAAATAACTTTGTGCAATATATTTTTTATACCAAATAATTTTGGCCTCTTTATTTATTGATGTATATAATTTTAATTTTTAATTTTTTAATATTAAAATGGTACCACATGAATAAAATATATTTTTATTATTTGGCTAATAAACATTTTATATAAAATTAAATGTACGTATACATTTGAAATAAAAATAATAAAAAATATTTTCATTATTTGGGTAATAAATATTTACATAAGATTAAATATACATATATATATATATATACACACTAATTAATTTGAAATAAAAATGAATAAAAAATAATATATTTGATGTAGAGTAAAATGTAGAGATAAGGGTTGGAGATGAATGTTTAACTCTATTCTAGAGTAGAGTAAAGTTCGCACTAGAGTAGAGATAAGGGCTAGACGGCCTAAAAATATCAAAGCAACCATTTTTTTTATTTAAAAAATATATATTTTCCAGAATGCAATTATATACATTAGGTAGAAGAAAATCTTAGGAGGATGAGAATTGAGAGCATCTCTACTAGTTTAAAAGGATCATTAGACAAGTTCTATTTGGTATTTTATTTACTCCTTTAGACTCACTATTTTTTTAATTGATTATACAATATATATATATTTTTAAATTTAAAACTTATGAGAAGTTTTTTTAATTTAAATTATAAATACTTTGTAAATTGCAATATTATTTATAATTAAAGTGAGATTTTTCGCGTGTGATATTATACTATTTTTTTCAATACATACTTAGGGAATTAGATAACTTTTTTAATTGATATATAATTTTATTATTTTTTTTATTCATATTAATTGATAATTTAATTTTATAACAAAAAAATATTTATCTATTTTACATATGCAATATGGAAATCAAATCAAAACTCGTCAAAAATAATTAATTTGATGTATGATAAATAAAAAACGAATAAAAAATATAAAAATTATCAATTTTTAAATATATTTATAATTTAAGTTAGCTAACTGTTTTACTATTTTAGAATTTCGAATATGTATCAGTAGAATCGAGGTCGACATAGATTACTCCAACACTACAAGAAAATGATGAAATTCCAACGGAAATATATTTCAAAAGGATTATTCCAACTACAATTCCAACGGATATTTCAATACTATTATTTACGTTGGAATTTTTCAATGGATTCCAACGGAAATTCCAACGAAAATATTCCGTTGGAATGGGTTTTCCATTGAAATTTCCGTTGGATTTTGACGATTCCAATGGTGGATTTTCCAACGGGGGTGGAAAAAAAAATTCCAACGGAATTTGCATATTCCAACAGAAATTTCTACGGTAAAAAACCGTTGGAAATATAGCCGTTGGAATCATCAAATTCCATCTAAAATTCCAATGAAAACACATTCCAACGGAATATTTCCATTGGAATTTCTGTTGGAACTATTCCAACGGAAGCTATTCCATTGGAATATCCGTTGGAATTTCCATTGGAATATATTATCATAGGATTTTCTGTTGGAATATGACATTTATTTTGTAGTGCAAGACACAAGAATTCAACACATAAAAATTAGTGATAACACACATAAGTTCGGAACATTATGCATTTATATATAAATTTAGGGAAATATCACGGTCCTGTTACGGAACCATTTCGTTTGGGTTTGTAATCGAGACCATCATTTAATCGTCAGATACAGTTGATCTAACGGTTACAAACCCCGACAGAATGGTTCCGCAACGGGACCGTAGTATTTCCCATAAATTTATATATAGAAGGATTTCGGAGACTATAATATATGATTATAATCTAAAATATTCTCCCCGCATTGAATTAAAAAAACAGAAAATGAAACATGACCCAAATAATTGTACCAAAACTTGCACTTTAATTTCTACGGGTGACCAAATTATGAAAGCTAGATATTTGGACAGAATATT